GCATACGTCCGCATGCATACTAATATGAGACTGTGAAAGACCCAAGCAAGTCTTTGGAGTAACACAGTTAACGGTTTCCAATCTAGGACTACACACGTAAACTGACCTGTTTCTGGTCTAGCACAGAAATGTCACTTCTGTTAGTGGTTTTACATCGAGAATTTTTTCACAGATGATGGGCCTTTTAAGAGGAATAAAATTATCCAGGAAAGATCTCACTAAGCCTTAGGGAAAGGTTTGAAATTCAAAGAATTCTACCCCATATTAACACTTACGAAAATAAACGGGGGCAAGAGCGTATCAAAGTTAGTCAATTCAGTTTGGAAGGCACCTTAGGAGGTCATCTAGTCCAACTTCCTGCTTAAAGCAGCGTACATAAATAATAATTTACAAATGTTACAAAGAAACAGAGTAGGCTTTCTGAAGGTGATCCCACAGGATCTAACTTGTCCTAAGTTGGCCTATTAGGGTTTATTCCAGAAACACAATTCAAATTTAGAGTATTTTATGGTGAAACACCCAAGCATAAGACAGTCGTTAGTGAAGATTTCCTAATTGCAAAAGAAAAAAGTGGTAGTGTCTGCATTTATATCTTACTCCTTTTTTCCTTTCAGAATTACTCACAAAAACACAGAAGAAGGTTTTGAAGGTGCAACTTCTAATGTAGGCATACAGGCCAAACTGATCAAAGACCTACCATGGGTTCAGAAACTTCAGGCACTATGCTCCACTGTATTCTCCAGCCCCTAGAAGTTAATGGAAACAATTAAAGAGAGATACTATTTCTTCTCCACCTGCCAACAGGGATTATTTGTAAGAGGTTAAGTAGTAGTTTCCTGTTTAAAACACAAACAAACAAAACCCCCAACCCGAAAAACTACAAACAACCAAACAAAAATATTTAAATTATTTTTAAAAATAACATTAACTATAGCGATATTGCACAGAATTAGGTACCTTGCTTATGGGTTTTAGAATAAAAGTGAACTGTGTGCACAGAAGGTGACGACTATGATTTGTACTTTTTTGTGGAAAGAAAATGGTGGCAACGATTCAGGAGCCTATTTGGCACTGGAAATTTTCAAAGAATGAAGTATCAGTCAGTAAGTACCAATTAAGAAATCGAAACATAATATGCACTAGGGTTTTTTTTTTCCCCTGTAATTTAAGGGAAAATACTGTTAGCCTATAATAGCGTTTAAAAATACCCTCTCAGTACAAAAAAATATTACCCTTAAAAAAGAGAGAGAGATCTTCCTTTTTAATGGGGACTGGATTTACAGATGAGAGAGATATTTCAGACACAAATACGCCAAGAATCCCTGAGAAGAACTAAACTGCAATTTTAGGCCTAAGTGAAAATTTTCTCCAGAAAAAAAAAAAAAAGCGGTAAGCCTCAATTTGTAAAGTGACATTCTCCAGCTAGTTCAAATACTGCAGGAAGATGCTTTTATTTTAGAATTTTAAAGTGTTGAGGTATTTGTCTGAGAACTTGCAGCATCATTCATGACGACTCAAGTCTTTGGAAATGAGGTAGAGCAGTCAGAAGTTACCTCCTTAGAGCAATCAAAAATTACAGAAATCAAGCAATATAACAAAGGTTATTAGGGTTTGAATTTCATCTTGTTATGAGTTAAAATAAAAGATTTAACATTAGAAAAGGTAGTAGTTTATGATTCAATGCAAAAGTCATAGAACAGCTTTCAAACAAAGCATTACAAGAAAATAATCTAGTATTTAAGTAAATACCTGGCTATGAGGTAATTTAGGGACAACCTCAAAATTGCTAAAAATAAGAACATAGGAATGGCCCAGCCATGCCATACAGCATTCATGTAAATCTGCAGATTAAGAAAAAAAAAAAAAAAGATGAGAAACTGAGGCGCAGCGAGCTGTATGAAATACAGCTCCCCGACTGTGCAGTTCAGAACCATGCAAGTCCGATCACGAACAATGATGAATGTTAGCCACCCCATGACTGACAACAGCACTGCATTCACAACGTAAAGTCAAAACAGTAAGATTGAACCAAATCACCAAGAAATGACACTTAAATAGTTCTCAGCTGTTTGAGAGATTGCGTACTTCCAGCCCTGCAACTGATGTGATGTAGAAATAAAAACTGAATGATAAAGTCTGTGAACCTGCTATGAGACCATGATACGGCCTAACTTGACCTAGGTCAACCAAAGCAAGAGTGTAGGAGAAGAATAAGGAGTTCTAGCAGTTAGCCACTTACAGGAGCAACCGGATTAACTCTCACTGTATTTTTTCAGGTCAATTAAATCCTAAATTCTGTACTAAGCTTAACAAGATTGAGAGGGAGATCAAAAGGCTGCAGGAGAACGGATCTTTGTAGCTATTAATTGTTAAGCAAAATAAGTGCTTCAAAAGGTATTCTGTCCCCTTCTGAACTTGTGAAAACGTAGAGCCAATAGCCAGTCCGCTTCGAGACACGAGGCCCTTTACTCTTAACCACGCAATGAAACAGTACTCAGGCTCCGAGAGTCCAGAACTTCTTGAACCAACAGCTGAAGCTGGTCTTTCAGCTTTTATCTGGAAAACGGTTTTGTTAGGCGGTGAGAGGAAACTAAGTGGGTTGAGAAAAGGGACAGAGACAACATGAGAAGCACAAAAGAAACCACAATGGGAGAGTCTCCTCCTCAGTATTGCCTGAGCTATGCAGTGAAAAGCAGCATTAAATAATGCTCTATAGCTTACAGGGTGGGATCACTTAATGAACAGATGTCTGTCATTTCCACCAGATAGTTCACGCTGACCAAGTCAGTTACAACTACTGTTTAATATTAACACCAAAATATTTCATATATACCATGAAAAAATAACTTAGATCATTTAACTAATAATTAGAAGGAAATCAAAGCAAAGTCCAACTAAATAGTTTTATCACCTTGCACCATGGAAACTTTATTGCATAACCCCACAGCAATATTTAAATTTAGCTCAAAGACTTAATTTTTGCCCATTAAATGAAACTCATATCAAGGCATTTAGTCTCTTATCTTTAGTATCTTGTCACTTCTTATCAGGTGAACATGCTCCTAATGAATGGAAAATAGCACCAATGGTAAAAAATAGCTTCTCGTCAAATATGGTCTCTATCAGGATTTCAGCCCTGGACAATAAGATTTTACAGAGACTGAAGTAACCATCAAATTACAGGTCTGGGAGACCGGAAGCAAGAAACATGGGAACAATGCCCAGATTCTTATAAGGTATTTTAACCATTACAAAACTGTACCACAAAACAACGCCAGCATCACACAATTTAAATGATTTTGAAATATAAATGAAGCATCAACTGCACACTATTTTGTGTCTATACGATATTACACTATTTGATTTGACTTGAACTGTAACATAACCCATACTCAGATATGGTAGTTTCAATGAACTTAACTAAATGCATTAAAAAGTTCTTACTACTCCTCAAGGAAGAGGATAACTTACAATAAAGGCAATAGCAGAAGTGTAGATAGAATACCAGTCTGATAAGGCAGAAAGATTCTTCACAAAATTAGTAACAGGTTTGGCACCTCTCTCTAAACAGAAGTGGAGGAAAAAAAACATACCACAATTGTTAGGATTAACCAACTCTAATTAAATGACTTGTAAATGACAAACAACCAAATTAGAAATTTAACAGGAATATTCAAGATCTGTAAATATAAAAATAGCTTACTCAAATTAAGAAACAAATAAAACTTTAAAAGACTAAGCAACTAGGAAAGCAATATATTTCCAAAAATTAAGGGTTATTCAAGACAAAGCTTATCTCTAAACTGTAAGAGTAAAAGGGTTCGGGGGGTGGGAATCAAGCGTAGCACTATCTTTACCAAGACAAGGTGGCTTCTGTCAGCAGCCTGCTCTGAGCTCTGTACTACTAATTTACATTACCCCCAAAAACTCAGTATAGGTAAATTCATCCTACTGTAGAACAAGGCAAATTAGCCTGATTGTCCATTGGCAGCTTGGAGCTCAATCTGCCACTACCTGAACTAGCTGATTTAAAACCAGACTAGATCTCTCTTGGCTGTGTTTATGCAGCAGCCTGTCCACTGCTAGCACTTGTCTGGTGCTTACCCCTACCCTAAGTCAACAGATATAGCTCGCCTCCAGCCTCTGAAGCCCTATGCTCTTCCTGTCACTGCGCAGAAGACAAATTCATACAGGGAGATGCATCACCCCCCTCCCCACACACATGCACATAGCCAGTGACAGCAAGAAGATTTATTTTTCAGCTCTCTAGACAAGGCTTGTCCTTGTCCTTGTCCCTTCCTATTCCTACATGCTCTTTTACCAGTTATGCAAACGGTTTAGGGAACACAAGAAACAGGAAAAGGCTGCTGCAAGGAGACCTTTGCCTTCTCTCTGATTTTGCTGAAGACACCTCTTGCACAGAGACCAAAAAGTAACACCCTGGTTCACCATACAGTTCAGAACTTTGGAAGACTTTCCTCAAGGCAGCCGATGGTATGCCATCCTAGTGTGTTTTGCTTGAACGTCAGCTATTCTTGATACACTTCCAGTAGGAAGTGATAAGAACTAGATTTCCTTGAATGTCAGTGGCACAAACGAAGCAGCGGACGAAGTAAGTGGAAGGGCACGCTCAAGGCAGCAGAGGAGGTCACTGACTCAAGCACTCCTCCCAGCAGCTCCTCCTCTCTGCTCTCCTCCACCGCCTAGGAAGAACTTGCAGGGAAGGTCAACACCTGGAAACCACTGGAGATAAAAGGGGCTTGAGGGCCTTGGGTGGTAGTTAGACACCCTCAAACAACAGGAATCTAGCCTCTGTGGTTCCCCCAGGGAAGTTAAAAACCACTCATAGCTTAAGCTTAGTACTACTTTTTTTTTTTTTTTTTCCAATCATTCTGAAGGCAATGCACTTCCATCAAGGAGAAGACGTCACAAGAATTCTCCCAGAGGAAACTAGAATGAATACCAGTATTAGATTGAGAGAACAAAACTGGCCTTATACAGACGTTAAAGCCTTTTATTCCCTTCACCTCCCCTCTGTAATAATTCAAATATTTAGGGCACAACCCAGGCACTTTTTTTTCAGGCTAGTAATTCTTTGCTGCATAAAGCTGCTGGAGGGTTTAACTACTTTGTTTAACCTCCTATCTTGCATCCTCCCTTCCAGAAGGGGTTATCAGCTGTCAGAGAAAGAAATGCAGGACACATTCAAGTTCTACACAGTCCAAGCCCTCCTTCTTTGACAGCGTAAGTTAATACAGGCACAAGCACATAACCCCTGTTACTTTTGCCACTAGAGAAATACCTCACAGAAGCTCAGTTTCAGTAGTTAAGGGGTTATCTTGTTCTCACTCATTACATGTTTACACATTTTAATTAGCGTTACACGTATAGTACAGAGATACCCTATGTAATTCAAGATTAAAGGCAAGCTTTTACCATCATCGCTCCTGCCTGTAAGTTATTTTGCATTCCAAACACTAATTCAGGATATCTGAATCACTTCCGCTTATGAACTGGCAAAAGTATTTCAAAACACTATATTTTTACATGCAGCAATCCTCCCAACAGGGTTACTAAGAACTACTTTTATTTCCAGAAAATAAAATACTGCTAAATACTTACTTAATCTTCTCATATTTTCAGTCAACCTGAAAAAAAAAATAGATAAAAGCAACTCATTAAACAGATAAGTAGTTGTATTAAAATGCAACTGTGCACATTTGGTCTCTGAAATACTGCTTACAGTTGTAAATTAAACTTTTATGCATGAAGCTTCATTCTTATCCATTATGAAATGTGTGTCTAGTAAATGTTACAATTTACCTTGCATCAAACCAAAACCTGAAAAATAAAAGCTCTCCAGTCTTTGTCCTCAGTTTTCAAAGGGTCTATGACAAAACCCAATAAATAATATGACTCATTCTACACTATACAGCAGATAAATTTCAAATTTCGTGTCTCAGCCAAGACATTTGCAAACCAGTTGAGAGGTGGTCCTGAAATTTCGGTTTTGTCATTTGCCATGTAAACACGTGCTCAAACCATGCAAAGGTGGTAAAGAACCTTGTAAAGAAGCCAACAATTGTTTACAATTGCCTTAGAGCTTTACCTTCTAGCACTAAGTGGTTCTTCTGTTTCCACTGTATTTTCCTCTGGCTGAAATCTGAAGTCTTCAACATACTCCCCAAATTTGTCATAAAACCACTTCTGGAGTCTTGAACATACTGTGTGACTGCGCTTATCTATAAAAAAGAAACACTATATATGAAGACAGTATCAGAAGACATCTTCATACAAAGCCTGCATCTGTTCCCATATGATATTTTTCTAAGTGTAGCATTCTTCGTAAAACATTTCTTGTCCTTCACCAATGCTTTTCATGGGAATCCACTATGCAATTTAGTTTTCCTACCATTTCATGGAAATATCAATGTCTATACTGTTAAAAATATATAAGCATCTATCAAGACAGTCACATAAAGATATGCAAAAATTCTATTTCACTGGAAATGAGGCACGTTTCCTGCCCATTCAAATCTCCCTACTCACACGGCAGCCATTCTCTGCCAGGCAAAGAGCCTAAACTTCACAGTTTGCCTCTTTGGCAGCTTAACAGAGATCGACCATTGCCCGGACACCACCTCAGATACCCCAACTTCTATGTCTCTGACTACCCGTCAGTCTTAAAGTCTTAGGAATACCAACACTTAATTCAGAAAGTCAGAAAAAAAATTTTTGAATTTCTTTTTCATAACAGAAGTTAAAGGAATTTTTCAGTCTCTTGTAGAAGAGAAAACAATTTAAGTTTGTAAAAGAAGAGTAAAGGTGATTTCTGCTTCCAGGAGAAGCTTTGCTGTAAGTACAATACCTGGAAGCATCTTATTACAGAAGTACAAAAATTACCTAAACATGTTTCAACAAATGAGAATTTCTAGCAACACGGTAAAAACTTTTTCTGGTTAAGGGGTTCCTGTAAACATAAAACTGACCTAAATCTCAACAATTCTATTGTGCTGAAGAAAAGAAAACGTAGGCCAAAACACTCCTGCAGAGAAAACGGGACAATGCCTTACAGCTAGGCTAAACTGACAGGAATGGGAAGTGGGAACTTCAGCAAAATTCTGCAAGAAACATTTGTACAACTGTCTGCCAACTAGTTATATGTAGTAAAGTACTAGCTTCCAGTGTGGGCAAGGAAGGGTGTGCGTGTGTGTTTAGTTTTGTTTTTTTAAAAGTTGGGCTAGAGAAATTATGCTGTATAGGCTACCTTCTATATACGGAATATATATATTCATTATACTGCCTGTCTTATAAGGCAAAGTAATACATGCTTTCTGTATGAGCACTTCACAGTTACTTCAAGACAAATGTCAGTGGAAAAAAAACGCAACACAGTGAAGCCCTTAAGTTCTAGGCAGTGCAGATGAAAGCTAAGCAATCACGTCTTGCTTTATCTCTAACTCAGAAAATCCCTTCTTAGAAGCAATACACAGACTAGTTTTTGGAAAGTAGGAACAGTGCAAGTTAGGTCAACAAAACAATGCAACAAAGGGGGGACTGGTCACAACTATACCAGGGTCCAACTTAGAACAAAACTCTATAGTTAAGCCACGTTTAAGCAGGGATATGAAAGACTGATCTGCTAGCTACAACTGTCCAAACTACTTTAAGAATATAAGACCAAGCAACCAGTCCTCAGAAAATAAAATTATGCTATAGATTAATGAATGGCAATGATATCTAGAAAAATAATGAATTTAGTTACAGTTTACAGCTAAGACAAAGCTAACATTTGAAAATAAAAGACAGGAAGTCAAAACTTCCCATATGATAATACTTCAGGTAGTAAAAAGAATGAAATTTTGAGGGCATAGTAAGACAAAAAAAAATGAACAAATGGTAGTTCACATAACAGAAAATACTGACATTAGGGCAGTACAGGAGAAGCAACCCTTACATTTCAATTAATCTGTACTTTTAAAAGCCTGGCTAGTACCCTCAACCACAAACTGTGGGGAGAAAGCTTAAGTGTACCAAAAGATTGACACTCTGCTACCTTAGTTCTTTCAAATTTCACTATATTATTCAATCCATACTAAGCAGCAGCTTGAGAAATGAGGGAGGTAGAGCAGATGTGCAAAACACTAGTAAACCATTTAAGTTTATTCCTTCTATAAGAATTTCTTTTCTTTTAGAAAAAGGAAATATTACAGTTAATGACACCAAAAAGCTTTTGCAGTTGAGAACAAAACAGAGCATCCTATATATCAGAGCCTTTTTTCTGAGTAGTCAAGGATCAGCTCTGCATACGAGAATTAAAGTTATGTTAACAGCTTTCATTACATTTCTAAAAGTCTTACAGAAAAATATAGATTTTGTGTTCAGATGTGCAGAGTCTTCTACAAAAAGTAAACGTAGAATCACACACAGAGAAACTGCTCAAACGGTCTTTTATCCTTAGCTTTTTCAGAAAGCTGCTTAAGCATCTAGCAAGTTTTTCAGTAACATTTGTTTTATCTTCTGTAATAGTTTTGAAAGAAAGGAATGAAAAAAAGATCCGCTCCCTGAATCAAACTGCTAGTACAGATTTGACCAAGATTACCTGTTCCATTGGCTTGTGACTGTGGCTTTGCAGGTTGCTGAGTTGCAGGCACCTCTTCTGTTCTAGAAAGAAGATGGAAACAATGTGAAATGCTACAGATTAAGATCTTTATGCCCATTGTGCAAAGGGAGCCCACAAAGGAAAGAACCCTGATGGCTTCCATGGCTGAGCTAACACAAGCATGACAAGAGAAAACAAACTTGTGCTTTATGGCGAGTATCAAAATGTTCAATGTATTAGAATCCAGAGAAATGCCACATACTTAAAAGTAGAGGAACGCTCTACTCATTTCCAGTTACCAACAACTTATTTTCATCTTACAACTACTGAATATTTTAATATCCGACTTGTTGCATTATTCATGTCTTTGTACTGTGTATTCCCTGCAATGCCCACCAGGAGGGCTCCTCAAAGCCCTGACTTTTCCCACAGGAATAAATGAAAAGGGATTCCATATTGCAAGCTGATAACCACAGTTCCAGAGCAAAACCAATTCAATACATGAACTCTGAATGCTACCACTGTTACTATAGTCAACCACCACTCAAAATTTCCACAAGGAGAAGAGTAAATGCCAAGAATTATGTAAAATATTACACTGTAAGCTCTTGAAATGCACAGATATCAAAACCAAGATGAAAAGATCTTAAAAATAACACAAAATATAAATAAGAGCCTGAAAAACTGAGAAAACAGCTCTTTAAAAATATACGGCAAGGAGTAGGCACCATTGCTCTCATCTTTCATGGCAAGTCAAGAACAATATTCTCATTCATTAAGAGTGAATAGATTCTATAAAACATATGAATGCTTTTGCCATCCTGCAACGTGCAGGACTTAAAAATCATATTTCAGCTGTCCATAGCCTCCAATAGCCAAAGTGCTCTGAGCACACTTTAGGCTTCAATCCATGCTACAGAAAACATTTTCTGATGGAGAATCAGCTTTGGCAACATAACACCAGCTGCAACAAGCTTCACTTGAGATGGAGTTATAGGACTGAAAAGAAGCAAAAATGCTTGAAGCAAAAATGTGTCAGTCATGTACAATTTTGTTATCGTTCATTTAACACACAACATAGGTGCTTTCAGTGCTTTCAAACGTTCCCTTCATCTTTCACTCCTCCTGAAGGGAACCAAGAGGTGTACAGGTCAGCAAAAGGAGAGCAAGAAGAGGGGTGCCATTATACTGGACAGATTATGGCAGTACAGATGCTCCCTCTGTTGCTGCTCCTCTAGAAGGCACAGGAAGGAAAGATCTTGCTGCATTGTCTGTATACGGAACAGATGTAAACCCATGGAGAAATATGCTCACGGTAGCGTCCAAACTGATCAAAAACAGAGCCCTGTCAATGGACAAAGATCACATACAAGGCAATAGACCACTGAGGAAGGGAAGCCTGGAAAGGTCCAGCAGCCATCTGCTGAAGACAGTCCGAATACAGCTTCGATTCGGCCTCTGAACAAATTAACAAAATAAGTAACGACACAAAGTAGATGGCTGCTTCACAGATCTATTTTACACACAACGCATTTAGCAGGACTATTAAGCAAAACAGAAATCCTAATAGCTCATAGATTCTATCACATACTCGGTCCTTGAACATACTCAGTTCTAGGCTGGAAAACAACAGATCTAATTACCTCCCTTCCCTCTTAAGCACTTCCCATTTTTCATGAACTTTCCACATCCTTGTTCGTTTCCAAAAGGAACATTTAGAAATAACTTTCTAACTTCTAAACTATATTTGGACAACTATCAGTTTGGTGTAGCTAAATTCCATGGGTTTTGCTTTCAAAACCTGTTGTTTTCACTCCTCTTCAAGGCTGTTCCACACTGCTTCTGTATTTATAACAATTCTTTCCAAAAGCCACCTGAAATTCCACCACCTTTTTTTTTTTTTTTTTTTTTTAAAGTTCAATTTTAACTTTGGTTTGTGTGCCATTTTTCCTCAGTTCCTATACAAACGTTGGGCTCTCCACCTAAAAGAACTCCTGCTCTTCTCACTCTTCCCCCACGTCCTTCTGTCTCCTCCAGTCCTAGCTCTCTCTCTCTCTAAAGAAACAGAGCTATAAATACGGTCAAATTTGCACAAACCATTACATAGCAGTGTCTGCATTTCTGTATCACCCCATCAAACGATATACATTTTCTCTTCACAAACTGTCACTGCCTCCATGTTCGTTGAAACTGAAGGCAGATTTTGACAGAGCGCACGTAATTAATTGCTCACAAAGAGGTTCACACAGGCAGGAGCCAATTATTCAAGCTGTTCTTGCCATGCTAAGACACGAGGGGTCACACCTGAACAGCCTCAGTGCCGGAACAGAGATGGGATCCAACCACTGAACACCACGAGGCCCTTGGCATGAGTCTTCCTTTGAAACACTAATATATTTTCAAAAGCAGTACAGTGTTGAATCTTTCCAAGAAACTTGGGGAGTAACAAGAGTCTCATCTAGGAACAGCTCTGAATACTAGCCTGATTGAAATGCCTGAGTAGCATACGACAGTTCGGCTTTTCCTTTTTTTTTTTTTTTTTTGCATTCATCTAAGACATCTCCTTTCTTGTTATGCTCTTTCCCAATGAAGAGCTTGACCTTTATGAATCATCAGGTTAATGACAGTTTATTACTGCACCTGTGAATCAGATTACAATTAAACACTTCAGCCAGATTTGGTCCAGGAAGCTCAGATTCCTTGTTCAGGCTTGCACACCCACCAGGAAGCCTAATCCTAAAAGCAGGTCATGCTGAGTCAGCCAGTACCGCAAGATCACTGACAGGGTAAGAATCACTTTAACACAAAAGTTAAGAAAGTCTTGACACTGAACTGCGGGCTATTTATCCTGCCTTCGGTATTTTGGTATTGTGCATCTTTAGCCTTGCATACCACTGAGAGCACAAAACGGTACAAGAATCAAAACAATCTCTCCATGAATTCAGGTCAAAGACCTGAATCACTACAAACAATTCCCATAGCTCTTAGGCTGTTCTTAGCCACGTTAAAAGTTATTTTCTACAGACTTACTCAGAGTTCACAAGCAACCCATCATTTTTGACAGCTTTTAGGGAAGCCAAGTACGGCTCTTATATTACTTGTTACTGCTCACAGAAACATGAACACGTATGCATTTCCAGGGGAAGCACCTTCCAACCTTAGATATGCAAAAATAAGCATAAAGGAGTTACTTTCACAGCGTAGTTTAAAGACAAATCATTCGGGTACACACAGCTTCAGGAATTGTCACAAATCTGAGTTAAAACACTTTCATATGTCGTCCATGTCCCTCCCACTAAAATATACCAAAGCTTCAGAAGCCTTTGTCCTCCTTGCCCGGACACTCCCACATTTTGTACAACTCATAGCTTCAGGAGCAAAAGAGCTCAGAAGAAATATCATCAACCCAATGCTGAACCAAATCTACATCTTAACGGGCAACAAGATTTTAAAAAGAAACTCTTGGCAGCAGCTTCTTTACAAGCAGCCTGTCATCAAAGCTAGTAAGTTAAAAATAAAAAGAGATGCATGAAGTTCAGCCAGCTGGGTATGTCAGCAGTCGGGTATGGTAGCAATCCCAGTGCGGCACGGGAGCCAGACGAGAATCTTTGACCGGGGTCCCGGCTTCTTATTACCTGTGCAGCAAGCCCCAGGCTGGCAGGGATCCTTCCAGGAGGGAACATTTCCTGTCTCTGTAGCAAACCCAGGGGGCCAGTTAAGGAATTTCTCAATGGACAAATTCAGCCATATCCAAAATATGGCATGTATGGAAGACTGCCACGCAACAAGAGGCCAGGAAGAGTCAAGGAAGATAGGGGCTAAAGAAGGAATAGTGGCTTATGCAGAAACATCACCTATTTTCTCTTCTTAAAAATAGCTTAGAATGATACTGCTAAAAAGAGTTGTTTAAGCCACAGCTTGTTAGTAGGTGTTGTTGCAATAATTGCTTTTTTTTTTCTTATTGTGTGATGGAGCTAGCTTACAATTCGTAAAATAAGGCAGCAACAGCCCACAATTTAAACTAAACAAGCATTGCTTACATAGATTATTCCAAATCACTTCTGCATTGTTCCACTAGCAAAATTTCATAAGCTTCAGCTGCTGTACCAAACGTCAGGTTGTCCCAACGTGCCTCCATAGAAAATCGCTAGTTGAGGCCACTAGTTTTTTGAATACTTAGACATACAGACAGCCAGGAATGAGCACCATAAACAAAAGCACTAAGCAGCCTCTTCTTCCAATCTTCCCTCCTTCCTGTAAACAATTCAATGAAATAAAGCCGTACTCTTCACTTTAACAAAAAAAACCCAAAAACCTACATTATCAGCTAGCACTTTGTTTTCCCTTTGCTGAACAGTTTGCAGTGCCTGTTTTTTACTGGTACACATACTGATCTACTTCACAACTGCATTTGAAAACTGTAACTGTTAAAATAGAAATAATGTCCGGCTCCTTACGCCACAACATAATTTGTTTTTCATTAGTAGCTTACATCTGTAAGCAAGGAAAAGTATGAGCACATTTATAGGCATAGCTACTTAAAGATAAAACGAAAAATTATCTGAACAGCAGGACAAATTTGGTTTTATTGACATTAAGGAGGAAAAATGATTTTCCTAGGGTAAGTTTGCTTAATAAAATTATGGATCCATCAGGTATAAATTTAGCCTGTTAAGTATAGGATTATGCCAATCAACACTTTGCCTGTAGCGCTAACAGGAGTATTAAAATGTCTATAACAAAGTACAACCAGTTAAAAAGCAGTGAAAAGCAATTTCACACAATGGAACACAAGAAAAAAAAAAAACTTAGGCAACCTGATTTTTCTTCTTTTGAGTATAAACTGGGAAATGGTTCAAAGTCTTTTGTTGTTGTGGTGTTAGCTATACTTCCCTTTCCCGAAAAGGCTGGAACATAAGCAAGACCAGTCAGAAAGAGACTTGGATAAATGGGATAATTTAGTGCAGCACTCAAGCTAAACAGGACTAATGTAACCCTTAGAATATCTAAAGGGAATAGCATTGAGGTGCACAGGTCACGCAACCTTAATTTAGCAATGACGTCTTCCAGAGGCATGCTCTGATTATGGTTGTGCACAACCCAGCAAGACTCAAATGTTGACACTCAGAAACGAACAGATTCAAAGAGGAGCTACAAGAAAGACGAGAGATTGATAAACAAAGAACTTCAAGCTCTTTTCTCAGTAAAACACAGGTACTCAAAAGCATCAGTGGGCCAGATGAGACCCCATCTGGGCCATCTTCATTGCTACCTGTAAAGAACAATTCAAATATGACAGGAGGATGGGACTTGCCCCATCCAATCATTCCCCATCCTTTCCCAGGACTCTCAATAATGATGGGATCACTCTCCCCTTCTCTCCTCTTCCAGCACATAACCTGGTATCCAGGCATACTCTTTCTTCGGAAAAGGCCTAAAGGCCTAGACCTAAGTTAATAGTATGATGGGATATAGGACAGGTCAGATAATACAACTTTTATTGTGCTCAAATACAAGCATGTGGAATTTGCATCTCCAACAACTTCTTCAAGGCAGTAAGTCAGAGACGAGAAGAAATCCTGAAGTATCTGTTATCTCAAGCAATAGCAGAAAACAAGACTCATTGCTTCGTACTGGACAAGACACCTTTACTTTCCTCACTCATACAAGACCTTGCCAAAGAAGAGTACCTCATAGCAAGCCTCCAAAAAGCATGACCTCAGTACTGTGGCTGTCTAAAAGTCACTGGATTCAAACACTTGACAGAAATACGACCTCCTGGCCTGCTTCAGAAGATTCCTGTTGACGACTCATGAAGAGCAAGCAGCATCTCCTAAACAAGCTCATGCCACTGAGTTTTGGCTCTAAACTCCAAAGAAGGGTAAAACTCATCTTTTCAAGTCAGCTCAGGTACACAGGCAATTGACCTGGATAGAACCCCATGAGACAGCTTCCTCCCCAAGAGAAAAGTCTTTGAGCGCCAGGGACCCCAATCCTCACACTCATTGGAAACATTACTTTAAGAGGTGCAAGCTCCTTCAGTAGAAACTTCTCCATCAGCACAGCAAACCAAGGACTGCTGTGTTTCAGGGATGTGAAAAACACACTCGTTCAGGGAGACAAAAATCACTAATACCAAATCCAGGAGAAGGAGGAAAGCCTGGGGAGAGAGCAAGATGCCTGTAAGAGGAAAAAGGCTAACTACCTAAAAGTGATTGACAATGATCCCTCTGCAAAAGAAATTTTCCCCCAAAAGCTGCTCCCACACTGGCAGAGTTAGGTACATTTCTAAGGGACCCTAAAATATGCAGACCAAGTTGGCTATGATAGACCAGGCAGACTATTACATGAGTGCTTTGGAGACACTTCTGCAGGTAGTGGGTGCTCTGCTACAGCAGTATTAATTAGTCAGCAAGGGAGAGCCAAAATCAGAAGCCCACACGAGCAATGACCATTACAGAGCAACCACAAAATCTCAAGCAGGAGGACAAGCCTGATTGTCCCTCTTCCACTGTTCCCAGTAGTCCACTCAATCAGGCAACATCAGCCTACAGACAAAACATAAGCAAATCTGTGCATGCAGGCAGGCCAGCCAGTACAGAGGACAGAGGGGAGACTGGATATCGCAGTTCCACTTCCCACTCATGAGGTATACCAACCCTAAAAGCAACTGTAATACACCAAGAAGAAGAAAAGAAAAAAAAAACAATAAAAAGAAAACCACATCACAAATCAGAGCCTTCCGCATCACCTTTGTGGTACATCACAGGAGTGATTTTGGAACAAGAGGTCTCTTCATGGTCATCCAGAGCCCCCTTCTAAGCGTGCAACTTGACAGCTTAGGTTAGCACTGCACTCAGATCAATCTGCGCTCTAAAGTCAGCACAGAAACAATGATTTTGGAGGACAATCAGTACGAAGCATTAGCCAGAAAATCTAACACAGCTTGGTACGGAGAATAAGTTGGCAGGCCTAATTTACATCTGCTACATAAAACCTTGCTGGACCCACACTTTGAATACTGCATGAACTGTCTCTTCATCTTCAGGCATAACAGGCAAAGAAGGACGAGCAAAGTAATGAATGGGATGGAGCTCTGTTAAGGAGAGTCAACGGTGAACTTCTGTAATTTATTGCCTTCATAGCTTCAAGTGCTTGACAGCACTAGCACGTTCAAGAGCGGATTAAACAAATTCATGGACAGAAGTTCTATAAACAGATATCCAAGTGAAAAGGCAGGGATGTACCTTCAGATATTCTTAATATGTTTACAGCCACTGAGGGAGTAGGAGGTAAACAGAGCAAAGCAAGCAGCTAGGCTCATGTGGCTCGCCATAAATAGCTCCTATTCCCACTGCTACAGACAGACAGGGTGGGGACAAGTTTCTATAGCACTGGAAATCTTATACCCAAGCAAAAAGTTTTGCCTATTTGCTCCTGCTTGTCTCCTCTACGTAAGGGGCAGTGCTTACTGCACACTATTACCGACTCAACCTACTTAGTGGTGGCAGTAGTTGAACCCCAGCTCCCACTGCTCAGCCAAATAATCTCAGCTAGGCCTGAGGAAGACCATGTTGGCATATGCAAGTGGACTAGACCAGCAAGCAGCTGCTATGGTCTTAAGATCTGATGTCCACAGCTGCGAGGCAGACTAAGGAGAGACATCAAACTTGATGCTCACCCATCAGGGTGGGTGTCCTCAAAGCTGAAAGGACTTAGGGGTACAGGGAGGTATGTATCTACTTGTCACTGCCAGTGGCAAGGAAGGCTCAAATTTCAGTTACTCTTGCAGATTTAGGATTGTAGCGGGATGCTGGAATGTCCTTGCTGCTAGCACAGGACAGGAGAACAACAGAACAACAGGGCCTGGGCAGCCTGCTGCTGACGCAGTTTTTGAATAGGCAAGGCACATGCAGAGGCATGGCAAAGGCTCTGGCATTCAGCCACACAGAGCACATGCTGATAGCTCCAGCTAGATGAGGTCCCAGAGGGAGGTCATCAGAGACCGCGAAGTGAGGAATGTACCAACCAGGCAACTCTCAGGACACCTCTGTAGTCAGAACAGTAGGGAAGGTCAAGGAATTTGGGTGTAGATTTAAGATGTCCTTTTACAGGAAAGGACAGACAGCCTTTCACTCTATGAGCTACTAACATTTTTTTCTTAAAAGAGAGTCTAGACTGGAAATGTTTTGGCCATAACTCAGAGAGAGCCACAGACATCAAGAGGCTTTCAGCTATACAGAAAAGATATTTCTCTTACCTTGTTTTAAGTACTTCATTGACTTTTTGTTCTAGTTCTAATCTCCTCTGCCGTTCTTTTTCTAGCTCTTGCCTTAATGTTTCAGCATTTGTTTCTTCTCTCAGCTTCCTGAGCTCCTCCTCTGTTAATTAAAGGAGAAGAAAAAGATGTAGTTACCCTGAAGTATTTCTGTAAGAAAATTAAAAACTAATTAAGATAGATTAGATGTGTTTTTAGTCTGTGCTATGACAAATATCCTGACTAGAAAAAAAAAAAAAAAATCAAAGGCTGGAAGAAGACTTTATGAAAAGCACATAGGTGTACCAGGTACGAAACATTTGGTTAAAATTATTAAAACAAGGAGAAAAACAACTTTAACGTTTTCTTTTCCAGGTGCAATGCACCAAAAATAAAACCTTGGTACAAGTTACCTTTACCTAAATACAACTTGACACACTTTTCATCCCCAAAAGAAATAATCAGCAGTAAAGGTTGCTTCTATCACTAAATCCACTAGTCATAACCAAAAAAAAAAAATCTATTTTTTTCTCTCAACTATACGGGTAGGAAAAAAACACATACATACCTATTGTAGTTGTAGAATACCATATAATCCTATATCCATTAATTTCTAGCCCTGTACTTTTATATAAAACAGACAAGTCCAGTATGAAGTCCTAGACCCGAGTACTGCAGAGCTTTAAGAACTTATGAGACTGTGTGTGGTTATGTACGTGTATATATAAACACACAAAGATAATTATTTCATGGAAGTGATATATATGTAAATACCCACATACATGTACACACACACCCCTCCGACTTTTGTTAATGAGAAATTCGTATGAACAATGCATATATTTCTTGGTGGCTAACTAACCTGACTTTTTTGTCATTGGCAGTATCCTTTTTTGCAGCCTCCTTTAGTCTAGAGCTACAGAGGACTCACTGCCCCCAATCACTTCTCTTGGACAGAGATATAAAAGATATGACCAGAATAAGACAGGGAAATCTCATTCATTTATGTTTTTTTTAAAACAAAAGTTATTCTACTTTGTGTTCTGAAGGGAAGGGTTTTTTGTTTGTTTGTGTGTTTTTTTTAAAGCTTGTAGTAGAACAGTAGCAGCATTTCAAGCTTACAGCAAACCAGAACAGAAAACACTTGCTAATTCCACTATCTCCACAGACAGAGTGGCCCAGGCTTTATGTTTGGTAGCACTCCTATATGATGATCTATCCTCTACCAAGTTGTCCTGTTTCGGTTCACATATTGTCCTGTAAATCTTTAGGAACCAGATAATTTTGATAAGTGAATCTTTCTCACCTCAACCAGTATGTATCTTAAGAAAGTCAGAAGCAGTAGTGCAAATATTTAGAATAACTGGTAAACTCCCTCTTCCCTCTCTGCCGGAGGTTCCCGTGTAGTATCTCAGACCATTTTATTCACTGTTTAAATTACGTGGTGGGAAATTACCTGTATTCCTTGTGCACCAAGGGATTTAAAACACAGAATCAGCAGACAAAGCAGACAGCAAAATAAACACATGAATCAAGAGAACAGTACAACATAACGCCTTCTGCTATGAGGCTACAGGCTGAACTCCACCAAACCAAGGAGCAAGCGTTATCATCTCACCACTGATACTTTGTTAATGGTCCCAGAAAGAAGAGGTGGATCTCAGAATCCAAGTTATTCTCTAGCACCTAAAACTAGAATTTATTTCCAAGGCTATGGTATGTTATGGTATGGTAGGAAAGGAAAGCACTGTTGCAGCAGATACTGTCTCTCTCCTGTAAACAAACAGGATGATGCAGACATAAGGGCTCATCTATACATGGAGCTGCTCCTAATTATATCTCCATAAGGAATTTTCAGGCCAACGCAAAAACTGTGTTCATGATTAGTTTACCCTACTTTCAAGGGCTCATCTTGTTCCACAAGAGCATGCACACAGCTGAGGGAAAACATCTGCCGCACTTCAAATACACTGGCGCTTGCGAAATACCATGAAGATATCATGAAAAGTTCCAAACCGGGATAGGAATGTTGATGAATTTTTTCCCTTTTCATGGTCTTGAGAAGATAACTTTTTTTTTTTTTTTTAAAGAGGAAGTGACTATGCATTGTGTGTACATAAGGAAACCAAAAGTAGTATAAATTAACCTTGATGCCCTTGAAAGTCTACTTAGATCTCCTAAGCTTCCTTAATTCCAGTTGTTGATTGCACTAGATCACATTGTATTAAAAACAAAACAAAATCCTAGAAATTCAGTCACTAGGAGGATAAGTGCCAGAGATGCAGAATTTCTTTGTGCACAATCAGAGTGCACAACAAACGTGGTAGAACTCTTGCTCAAACAAAACAAAACAAAAAAAACCCCAGCATCTGATCTTGTTAGTAAAGACCGTCAAGAGCTTCACATTGCGCGGCATTTCCGAACTTTGAAGTACATGATTTTGCAATTTAAATGTACCCCTGTATAACTGCTCTGGCACCTCCCACTCTTTCTAGAGCAGTGCTTGTCGCTACTTTGACAGCAGTGTGGGTCTGGTACTGTAAAACCTTCATATTTATGTAGAGAGATACATAAAGTTTGCTAAGCAACAGAAACCACAGAAAAGGGGGAATGTTCTGCCTTGCTCTGTCCTCTGAAGTGATCGACAATTTGGCTAAACTGAACTGAATGATGAAAAGGACATTTCTCTAGACCCAAGGGTTCCTCTTACAAAATGGCCAAAGTTGGCTACAAACAGCAGAGGTCACAAAACCTCAGGAAGAGTCCATAAGAACATTTCATCACAGAAATCTTAATGTAGTATCTATCTATTGAGCTTTACAGACATGTATCCCTCTTGACGGTAAGAGTGGAGCGCTCCTGGGATTTGATCCTAGATAGTCAGTCTCCTTCCCATAAAAAGTACGCATAAAAGGTCATATCTCAGGTCCCAGATTAATCTCCCTCTCCAATTTCCCTAGCTGCCTATCTCCTGATGGGCAAGAAACAATAAAATATTGAGGGACTCGGAGCCTGCCTTCACTGGACCTGCATATCTGGTTAATTAACACAATACAAGCTTTATCTGCTTAATCTAGTGTGACCCCATAAAAGTGCTTTAGAAACTCCCTAAACAAAATCACCTTGCATAGAAAAGCGGGACAACATCTGGATGCTATGGGACTTTTAAAAATAAGCTTTAAAAACATCCAAGACAAGACAATAATGACTTTAAAACTCCATTATCCTGCATACTGTCACACGGTAAACCCTAGTATAGTTGATCCCATAGGAAAGATCAGCACGAATAACGTACCACACAAGTTAGAGAGAAAAAAAAAAAAAAAAACACTAGCTACTTCAGTATTTGTGCCATTTTATCCCCCACTAGCTTTAACAACTGTTATACCCACAGTCTAAGAATTGCTCATCTAGATCTTAAGATTTAATGTCTCAAGAAGTTTAGCCACTATCATCTTATTGTCAAAAGACAAGATATCTACAGTTTTGTGCAATGCAGTAATCATTTACTCATATGTCATCAGCCACCAGAGCAACTGAAAAATTTCAGTTTTCTCCTCAAAATATGCAAGTTTATTATTGTAAGAAATGTTTGCTAAAAAACCTACTAAGCAGTAAAATAGTAGTTCAAGTGAGACGGAACAGCACCTGAGTAATACTTAGAAAAGGATGCTACTTTTGACTGGGAAGGCATGACAGTAAGTTGGATTTCTAACTCAATGCTGCACGTGCAGTAAAATGGATGTTTCTCCTAATATACGGATTGGAGGTGGATTACAGAGTCTCCTACTAGCTAATTTACATAACAGCTTGCCTTTGTAGGTCTTCACGCATGCTGCAAAATCCTCTGATGGGACAAAATAACAAAAAAGATTTCTTTCAGAGCACAGCTAGAGTACAGACTGTAGACTGCTGTTCATAGTTACCAGATCTGGTTAGCATTAAATCTAAGGAGATCTAGTTAAAAACTAACAATAACAAAAAGCGTACATGCATCCTCTCATAGTTTCATGGGGAAACACCACTACTTAACAAGACAGAAATAACTCTTCTATGTCTACGTTAATTATGGCAAATCTCCCTATAGCCCTCTGAACATGACTACAGTTCAAGCATGCTGCCTAATTGGTACTAAACACATTAAACCCCAACCACAAACTGTCAAACTGGATCTTGTCAGCAGCACTGATGGAGCCAGACACCAGAAATTTTCTCCAACAACAAGCAGATTCTACCCTCGACAGACTCCTGCAAAAAGGGAGTATTATAAGTTTAGCCCGAGCGGACCAACTACATGACGTTACTGACAGAATGTCAGAAGTCTGAAACATACATATTTTTGTCATCACAGGTACTGAAGAACTTATATTCTTTATTCTAAACACCAGCAGTAAATGGCAGTGCTGTAAACAGCACAAATTGCTCCACCGTTTGTCATAAAGCAATCGCACAGACAAAGAACTTTGACCACCAGGAAGTGACGGAGCAAAGACCCACAAAAAATCCCTGGCTTGCTTTTTCTGTTTACAGTTATCTTGTAATTGATGTTCTCTTCTGGAGCCTGGCAAGTCTGCACTTCCTGGATATAGATTAATTGTGTACTATTATCTATTTCTTCAAATCTCTGCCTCCCCTCCCCCAGGCTTATGTCTTCCAGCAGTGAACTGAGAGCCACAGAGACTGTCAAAAATTTCCAAGATCTATCCAAAAGACACTGAATAAAACAATAACCTCTGATCCCAAACGCTGCAAGAGATTCTACTTCTTTGCGTGCCAGATGCTTGGGAAAGAAAAGGGCGCTCCACTTTATTAGCTCTCCTTTCTCCTCTAAGTCATCTCCCAAGTCCATGCCCTCTTTCATGGCTGGACTTTTATGCTTTACATGGGAAGAAGGAAGTTTATGTGGTCAGAAGGACTACTGCCCTAAGGCAAGCTAGGGAGCAGCTAAAAATCTCCCTCAAACTCCAGGCTCTGTTGTTTAATCCTTCCAGTGCCTTGCACGGTGAGGTGGTCACTTCCAAAACAGATAACAGATCTTTTTGCCCTTCACAGCACTTCTGCTAGGACTGGCCAACAGCTGGACTGGAGAGTAATCTCCAGCAGATGGACAACAGAGAGAGTGGG